ATATATATATATATATGTATGTATGATGTATGTACGTATATGTATATGTATGTATATATGTATATGTAAATGTATATATCCGGTCTTAGTTATTCTTGTAGATAATTGGGGGTAGTTTCCGAGCCACTATGCGACGTCGTGTGCTTTCAAACTATGCAGACGTTTCAATCTGGCATATCAAAAACTGGTACTACGCTTTTGCTTGCGATGCGATAGGTAGTCGGATTGGTGTATACATCATTATCATATAGTCACTCCCTTCTCTTTACAGACTGTATTGGTATCTGCCCGCATGCCCTCATTTTGAGGTGATCTAGCAATTGGAAAGTTCGGTACTTAATGCAGCGAACCCGGCAGGAATATCTCTAATCATACTTCTCAGTTACGTTCTATGCCTACCTTATCATTTACGCTCTATTCACCTACCTTCAGAGTGTTGTGTTCAAGTTCCTGGACGACCCGGCATCCGGCAATGAGGCGAAATACTATTCGCTGTTCCAGATGCTGGTGCTTCTGCTGTACATCACACTGCTGTGCTACTCGTCGCTCTACCACAAAGAACGAGGGGGTGAGAGCTTTGAGATCAACACCGTGTTTATCCTGGACGTAAGTCACCGTTCGATGTTGTGGGTCTGTTATCGTTGTGTTGTATCTCTGCGGCCGATTGATCCTATGTCCATGGCAAACAAACGTATGCAGGACCTGGTGCGCCCCACCTTTCCTCTTCAACGCTACATGACTCAATTGAACTGTGTGTGTGTACACCCACACTCCATATATCATCCCATCTGATCCCGCCAGGGCTGCCTAGCTAGCCATGCAGCTCTCTCGCAGAACCCGTTGCATGTACCTACCTACAAACCCTAAACCCTAAAATACAAACCTTAAACCCTAAAATACAAACCTTAAACCCTACCCCTGTGAACCAAACGCTTATGTTGGCCCTCCGTTCTCCCCGCACAGACTGTGGTTACAGTTATATTCACACTGGACTACCTAATTCGATTAGCTAGCCATACAGCTTCCTCGCAGATCCCGTTGCATGTACCTACCTATGAACCCTAAACCCTGTCTCTGTGCGCCGAACGCTTAAGTTGGCCCTCCGTTCTCCCCGCACAGACTGTGGTTACAGTTATATTCACACTGGACTACCTCATTCGATTAGTGTGCGTCCGAGACTGGGCGCATCTCAAGAGCTTCTTAACAGACGGCATGAATATTGTGGACGTGCTGAGCATCTTACCGTACTATATAGGTGAGTTGTTTAATATTGTGGACGTGCTGAGCATCTTACCGTACTATATAGGTGAGTTGTTTAGATCTCGTACTTCGGCATATGTCCGCACTCAGCCTGTGGCTTGATATAACGTACACGTATGTGTTGATATGGGGTGCGTGCAGTGGTGATTCAAACTATAGGTATGAGTTTGTACACGCACATGATGTTTGCTCAGCTCTGTAAAATAGCAACCATTACCACAACATGTATTGAACACACTAAATTGATTACAGATTACAATTGTATTAAACTCACTATATTAATTACAGTTGCATTAAACACACTATATTAATTACAGAGGCATTAAACACACTATATTAATTACAGTTGCATTAAACACACTATATTAATTACAGTTGCATTAAACACACTATATTAATCGGGCCCTCCAGAACAGCAGCCATTGCCCCAGTGGTACCAAATGATGTGATGCGTACAAGTATGTACATCCACATGATGTTTCCTGGCCCCTATACTAACAGCAGCCATCACTCCAGTGATACTAACCCGTCTTCCCCATATCACAGTACTGGTCCCCATCCACCCGGGCAATCTCCAGCCACTCCGAGCGTTGAGGGTCATCCGTCTCGTGAGAGTGTTCCGATTGTACCGCCTGTACAGACACCGATCCACTCTGCTCAGAGTGTTCATCCGTGCGTTGGAGAAGGCGCGTGGAGAGATCTACTTCCTCTTCGCTCTGCTGGTTATTGGTATGGCGGAACGTTCAGAGCATTGCGGAGCCCTTGCCACTGTGTGTTTTTATTGGATGTTAGCTCTATTCTTTGTGTTTTCGTTGGGTGCTTACTCTTTTCTGTGTGTTTTACTAGGGTTTAGCCCTTTTCATGTTTTTTTATCTTTTCTTTGTGGTTTTATTGGGTGTTGGCTTTTTTCTGTGTGGTTTTATTGGGTGTTACCTATTTTCTCTGTCATTTTATTGGATGTTGGCTTTTTATTCTCTGTGTCTTTATTGGGTGTTAGTATATATATATATATATACAATATATATATGTGTGTGTGTGTGTGTGTGTGTGTGCGTGTGTGTGTATGTATATATGCATATTATATTTATAT